AAAAAAAAAAAAAAAAAAAAAAAAAGTAAAACTTGACCTGGTCAATACTTTTCCATTATTAAGATTTTGAAATGTGTGACAATTCCACATGAAGTCTTCTCTTTTATTCTACCAATAAAACATTATTACTTACATAGCAAGGTCACAAAAAGCTTACCTGCTTTTAGAATGTGAGCTTGGTAATAGCTTGTTCAATTTTTCTAGTCATGTTTTAGATCCCTGTAAGATAATGGTAGTGTGGCCTCTGCTCTCTTAATAATTTTCTATTTCCGAGCCCTCTCATAGGTTGATGTCACATTTTTATCATTAAAACTAGGGACAGAGTGAATAAATTCAGGATGCCACAAAAAAGGCTTCATGTGGAATAGTGAGACATTTCACAATCTATTTTTTTTTTTTTTCTTTGAGACTGAGTCTCGCTCTGTCGCCCAGGCTGGAGTGCAGTGGCCGGATCTCAGCTCACTGCAAGTTCCACCTCCCGGGTTTACGCCATTCTCCTCCTGCCTCAGCCTCCCAAGTAGCTGGGACTACAGGCACCTGATAACTCGCCCAGCGAGTTTTTTTTTTTTTTTTTTTTTTTTTTTTAGGAGAGACGGGGTTTCACCGTGTTAGCCGGGATGGTCTCAATCTCTTGACCTTGTGATCTGCCCGTCTCGGCCTCCCAAAGTGCTGGGATTACAGGTTTGAACCACCGCGCCTGGCCTCACAATCTTAATAATGGTAAAGTATTGACCAGGTCAAGTTCTACATTTATAGCTACAATTATGCTATTTTTGTTGTTGCTGCTTAGCTTTTTTTTTTTTTTTTTCCCCCAAAAGTAGAGACAGGGTTTCATTATGTTGCTCAGACTGGTCTCAAATTCCTAGGCTCAAGCAATCCTCCTGCCTCAACCCCCTGAGTAGCTGGGACTACATGGGGGATGCCATCATGCCCGGCTAATTTTTCTGTAGAGATAGGGTTTCACCATGTTGCCCAGGCTGGTATCAACCCCTGAGCTCAAGCAAGCTGTTTGCCTCGGCCTCCCAAAGTGCTACGATTACAGGCATGAGCCACCATGCCTGGCTTCTATTTATATATTTTTTTATCATTTTATTATTTTTTTGAGACAGAGTCTTGCAATGTTGGCTAGGCTAGAGTGAAGTGGTGTGATCACAGCTCACTGCTGCCTCAACCTCCCAGGCTCAAGCAATCTTCCCACCTCGGTCTCTTGAGTAACCAGGACTACAGGTGCATGCCACCATCCCTGGCTAAGTCTTCAAACTTTTTGTAGAGTCTTGCTATGTTATCCAGGCTGGTCTTGAACTCCTAGGCTCAAGGGATTCTCCCGCCTCAGCCTCCCAAAGTGCTGGAATTATAGGCATGAGCCAACGAACGTGGCCAATCCTGTTATTTTTAAATTAAAATTCTGGAAATTGGCTGGGTACAGTGGCTCACACCTGTAATTCCAATACTGTGAGAGGCTGAGGCAGGTGGATCACCTAAGGTCAGGAGTTCAAGACAAGCCTGGCCAACACGGTGAA